ATCTCGGCCTTTTAATCAAAGTATCAAATATATTTACACTTAATGTATTTACTGATAAAGTAGGATTCATGTCTTCCACTTTACTATTTGTTTTTTATATGTCTTAGTGCCTTTTTTATTCCTCTATTCCTCCATTATTGCCTCCCTTTATGTTAAATGAACATTTTCTTAGTGTAGCCCTTTAATTCCCTTGTCATTTCTTTTACTACATTTTTAAGTTAGCTTAGGGAATATTTTAGAGAATGGGCAATTACATCCTGAATTTGGAAAAATAAATCAGAGTCACAGGTTAAGACAGTAGGATTTAGGCAACAGGAATGTCTAACAAACTCAAATTTACCAGTCACTGTCCCTGGTATACAACCTTGCATGTGGGAGGTGCTCAATAAAAGTTTATTAAGTGAATATCCAAAATATATATTTATTCCTAACAGAGTAGCAGTGTGTGTGTGTGTGTGTGTGTGTGTGTGTGTGTGTGTGTGTAAATGCAGTATTATTGGGCTGTACTTAATTAGGGAGTGGCCAGATGAAATGGGATGAGCCTTCTTATTCAACCCGTCTTGGCCATTATTTTTCTTTCCCTACATGAAGAGTAAAATGATGGTTCTATAATATCCTATATTCTCTTACCCTGAGATAGGGTGATTCTTTTGATCTTAAATGTTTATAAGAGCAGAACTTTAAGGTTTTTTTCTTCCCCATTTGGTATGGAGGTCCATCAATGATGCTGGATATTGTGGAGGGTACTTATAATTCTGAGTGCTACCTCTTGAAGCCAAGAAGTCGGAAAACCTTATTCAAAAAGAAATTTAAAGAGCTGATCTGCTGGCACTTACTGAGGACTCTCAAGGATCAGGCAATCACTGAAAGGGAGATAAAGGTTGCATTTGCAAGTCTGCTCTTCCTGTTTCTCCTGATTACCTCCTCCATTGCTTGTAACAAGATGTGAATTGTTATTGAAGTGGGAGGTGAACCGGAGTTCATATGATGTAAAAAAGTACTGCTGTCCTCCTCATTTTCTGTTTATCACTCAAGAATGTCAATCATATTTTCTTGATTTCTCTTTCTGTTGCTTCATTATTGGTGTATAAAAATGCAACCGATTTCTGTACGTTGATTTTGTACCCTGCAACTTGGCTGAATTCTTGGATCAGTTCTAGTAGGCTTCTGGTGGAGTCTGTCGGGTTTTCTATGTAGAGTATCATGTCATCTGCGAAGAGTGAAAGTTTGACTTCCTCTTTGCCAATTCTGATGCCTTGGATTTCCTTTTGTTGTCTGATGGCTGATGCTAGGACTTCCAGCACTATGTTAAACAACAGTGGTGAGAGTGGACATCCCTGTCGTGTTCCTGATCTCAGGGGGAAAGCTCTCAGTTTTTCCCCATTGAGGATGATGTTCGCTGAAGGCTTCTCATAGATGGCTTTGATGATGTTTGAGTAGGTTCCTTCTATCCCAACTTTCTCGAGAGTCTTTATTAAGAAGGGATGCTGTATTTTGTCAAATGCTTTTTCTGCATCTATTGACAGGATCATATGGTTTTTATCTTTTCTTTTATTGATATGATGTATCACATTGATTGATTTGCGAATGTTGAACCAGCCCTGTAACCCAGGAATGAATCCCACTTGATCTTGGTGGATGATTCTTTTGATATGCTGCTGGATTCGATTTGCAAGGATACCTCGGAATAAACCTAACCAAGGACACAAGAGATCTGTATGATGAAAACTATAGAAAATTTATGAAGGAAATTGAAGAAGACACAAAGAAATGGAAAAACATTCCATGCTCATGGATAGGAAGAATAAATATAGTTAAGATGTCATTACTGCCTAAAGCACTCTACACATTCAATGCAATTCCAATCAAAATTGCACCAGCATACTTCTCAAAACTAGAACAAACTATCCAAAAATTTGTATGGAACCACAAAAGACCCCGAATAGCCAAAGTAATACTGAAAAATAAAACCAAAACGGGAGGGATCACCATCCCAGACCTCAGCCTCTACTACAAAGCTGTCATCCTCAAGACAGTATGGTATTGGCACAAAAACAGACACATAGATCAATGGAACAGAATTGAGAACTCAGAAGTGGACCCAAAAGTATACAGCCAACTGATCTTTGACAAAGCAGGAAAGAATATCCAATGGAAAAAAGACAGCCTTTTTAACAGATGGTGTTGGGAGAACTGGACAGCAACATGCAGAAGAATGAAACTAGATCATTTTCTCACACCATGCACAAAAATAAACTCAAAATGGATAAAGGACCTGAACGTGAGACAGGAAACTATCAACACCCTAGAGGAGAAAGCAGGAAACAACCTCCTTGACCTCCACCGCAGCAACTTCTTACTTGACACATCCCCAAAAGCAAGGGAATCAAGAGCAAAAACAAACTGTTGGGACCTCATCAAGATTAAAAGCTTCTGCACAGCCAAGGAAACAACCCAGAAAATTAATAGGCAACCAACGGAATGGGAAAAGATAGTTGCAAATGACATATCAGATAAAGGGTTAATATCTAGAATCTATAAGGAACTCACCAAACTACACGCCCGAAAAACAAACAACCCAGTGAAGAAATGGGCAGAAGACATGAACAGACACTTCTCCAAAGAGGACATCCAGATGGCCAACAGACACATGAAACGATGCTCAGCATCGCTCATCATCAGGGAAATACAAATCAAAACCACACTGAGATACCACCTCACGCCAGTCAGAGTGGCTAAAGTGAGCAAATCAGAGAACTCTAGATGCTGGCAAGGATGTGGAGAAACGGGCACCCTCCTACACTGTTGGTGGGAATGTAAACTGGTACAGCCCCTCTGGAAAACAGTGTGGAGGTTCCTCAGGAAACTAACAATAGAACTCCCTTATGACCCAGCAATAGCACTGCTAGGAATTTACCCAAGGGATACAGAAATGCTGAGGCATAGGAGCACATGTACCCCAATGTTCATAGCAGCACTCTCCACAATAGCTAAAACATGGAAAGAGCCTAAGTGTCCATCAACAGATGAATGGATCAAGAAGATGTGGTTTATCTATACCATGGAATACTACATGGCAATGAGAAACCATGAAATCTGGCCATGTGTAGCAACATGGATGGACCTTGAGGGTGTTATGCTGAGCGAAATAAGTCAGGCAGAGAAGGACAAATATCATATGTTTGCACGTATAGGAGGATTAGGAGGAACTTGACGGAGGAACAAGGGGGAGAAGAAGGGGGGAAATGGTGGGGGAAAGGGAGAGAGGCAAACCATGAGAGACTCTTGAATGCTGACAAAAACTGAGGACTGATGGATGTGGGGGGGGAGGGGGGGATGGGCATGGAGGAGGGCACTTTGGGGATGAGCACTGAGTGTTATGTAGAAACTAATTTGACAATAAACTATTTGTAAAAAAAAAAAAAAAAAAAATGAATGTCAATCATAGGCCAGGGTAAGCATGGTGTATCTTCCTGAGGAGTCAATGTTATTTAAATATTTGGAAAACAACAGTGATTTTTTTCCCCTATTGTCCAAACACAGGTGTGTTATAGAAGAGAACATAAATGCCTTCTGAATGCTTCAGACAGGTCTTGAGACTTCAAAACAGTTTCTGATTATGGCAGTCTGTCTCAGCCACGCCACAGAACCCTTGAGACACATAATTCACTCTCCTTATTGGTTAGAGGTTGCATTAGTTTGATAGGGCTGCCATAATAAAGTACCACAGACAGAGGGGCTTAAACAACAGAAAATTATTTCTTCAAAGCTCTATAGGTTAGAATTATAAGATCAACGTGTTAGCAGGGTTGGTTTCTTCTGAGGGACTCCCTCCTCAGCTTGGAGATGGCCATCTTCTCTTTACATCTTTACATGGTCTCTTCCTATCTGTGTGCATGTTCTTATAAGGACACCAGTCACACTGTATTAGGACCCACCCATATGACCTCATTTTACCTTAATTACTTCTTTAAAAGTCCTTTCTCCAACTGCAGTCACATTCTCAAATATTGGGTATTAGGATTTCAATATATATGAATTTGGGAGGACATAATTCACCCATAAAAGAGATGCTTAGGTGGAAGAATTGAAAGAAGTAGTAATAACCTTTAAGCCGATCTTAAGATTCTAAATTTCCAGTAGATATCATGAGACCGATAAATTTTCTTAGGATCCTTGAGGCCATATGTGTCTGTCTCTTTTCTATGTTATTTATCCCCAGACCCTGAGGGAGATCTCAGCTGTAGAGGGAAGGAGGTCCTGCAAGCAGTAACCATAAGAAGAGAGATTGCCATGGTAATTAACAACTTGTTGTCGTGAAAATCCAGATAGGCTGCAATGTGTTCTGAAGATATGATCTTTCTAAGCACCAGGAACCAAAGTTGTAGATCTGCCCAATGGGTTGGTCAGAAAGAATTTCTTTTTAAAATCTGAGGGAAAACTCTACTATTAATGACTTGCAATTATCACAAACAGCTGGAAAAGCCATCAAACAACTTCTAGCAGAAAAGCTGCAGGTGTCTAGCCTTGGCTGGCTGATGCTGTAAGTAGATTCTTTTACAATACCTAAAAGTATTATAGGTAAGAGCTTTTAAAGAATTTACTTAAAATAAATATGAAAGATGAAGGTTTAGAGAAACTGTGATAATAGCTAAAGCCTAGTCAAGAAGATGATTTTATCCAGGTGTTGCTGTAATGACTTATTTTCCCTAAATATCCTAAAACAGACAGCATAACTAAGTTCAAGTCCTTATGTTATAAAGTTACAGCTTCTAGAAAAACTAGATCCCAAAATAATATCTGTATCCATATTACAACAATAAGTTACATGTGTTCAGTAGGTAAACACTCATGGAAATTTAAAGCACTCCATTATTTTAATGTGTTCCCATGAACAAAGACAGTTAGGGACATCCAAGACACAAGCTGGTTTTGAAGTTTAAGAAAGCAGTAGATAAAAGCTTTGGTTAGCTTCCACATTAGTTACAGATATATCTTACCTAATGGTCAATTTCACAGGCTCAGGGGACCCATTGACACTGACCAGGAACTCTTCTTCAAAGTGTCCCAGAATGGGAGAACTGAAAGATATCTGGACTGCCTGGACTCCACCTGGTTCGATGATGCCTTCTTTGGGGCTGAAAACAAAGCAGGCTCCCAAAGCCGAAGTTGGACGGACCACGTTGAAGAGAGCATCAATGCTGCCTTTGTTGGATAGTATTGCCTATATCAATAAAAAGTCAAGAATGCAAAGATATAGCAGGACATCTGATTTCTTTTCATAGAAACATGTGGCTGTACTGTTTAATACTAACACACACACAGTTGCAGGAAGTAAAGCTGGAGAAAAACTCCAGGGGAGAAATGAATAGTCTTCTGTCTTGAAGGTTTGAAAATAGGAATCCCAATCCAAAAGCCATTTTGTGTTTTTAGTATCCTCTTTAACACAGAGCTAGTCATATGTATTATAGCCATGTTATAAATACTGATTGTAATTATATCTGCTGAAAAAGAGCCTTAAAATACCTCTTTCTGTATTCTATAAGGTAATTGAGAGAAGGTAAGTATTTCTCTTCTATGAATGAGAAGGGTGAGAATAAGTGGAAAATAAGCAGTCAGAATAGAAGAGCAAGAGCTACCTAAGCTGACATCTACTGTGTAGCCTAGAGAATGTGAAAGAGATATCACTGTGGATTCCAGATGACAAGGATTCTCTTTGTTGTGCTATTAGATTTCATTCTGGGATACTTTCATCTCAAACTCTGCTGCATGGATACAACAACTCTACTGTTTGGGGATGCTTATGCAAAGCAACTGTTTTACTATAGACAAGTTTTATTCCTATATACTAGAATCATTGCCCATATTTGCTTGCATGCCAGGTGTGTGTGTATGAAAAGTTCATGCCTGGCATTCAGAGTCCTCCACACTTGGCTCAGTCCATGGCTCCCACTCCCACTTCCCCTGGTGCCTGTCCAATGAGCCTGTGCTGTAGCCATGCAGCTCTCTATTCCTGAGCTTCTAAGAGGGTCTCTATTCCTTGCCAGTGCTTACACCTGAACTGGTAGTACTTACACCTGAACTGGTGGACAGCACGTTCTCTCTATGTATGTACTACCTTCAACCTATGCTCAAAGTATTACAGGAAAATGAGCACATGAGACCATGAAGAAATGTTCAGAAAGGCATGTGGGACATGTCAGGAACCTACAAGAAGGAGGAGAATTTCCAGAAGGGGTTAACTGTGGACAGAGCTCAAGGGGAATAAATGTTGAGAAAATGTTACAGATTTTTTATTTTTAATTAGAGGTCATCTCTGCCCTTGAAGAAGAAAGTAACTTCAACGGAGTGTGATGGTAGAATCCAGAGTCCAAATGTTTAGGGGAGTGCGTGGGTGTGGAGGAAATAGTGGTTGACTACTCGAGATTCCTGTTTTGAGACGATTATTGGTGAGGGGTGAGAGTGGTGGAGGCAAAGCTGTGGGAAGTATGGTAGAGGAGAACCAGTATATTTATATTAAATGAGACAACGTATACTCAGTGCTGGGCCCATATGTTTGTTGTAATAAGGGACAGGGCTACATAACCAAGGGAATGGGGTCTGTCTGGGTGGATGGGCAATTCCATCACCTTAGGTTGCCTCCTGAGAAGCAAAGAAGAGGGAATCAAGAGTATATAGAGAATAGAGTCAGGGGCTTTGCAAAGGGAAACCACCACTTCTTCCAAGAGAAGATGGATGATGGACCAAAAGAGATACATAACTAACTGCTGCTTTATACTTTATTCATCTTTTTACAATCCCCACTCTCCCTCACTCTGTTTTAAGTTCCCTGGTCATAGAATTTAAGTTTCACCCTTCATTCCTTTTAAAGAGACCATGTAGAAAGTGATTATGGCCAGGGAGGGACTCAGAAGCCAAATGGCCTGGGCTCAAATCCCAGCGTTACCACAGATTTCCTAGCTATGAGAACTTGGAAAACCTGCTTTGCCTCTCTGTGCCCCAGTTTCTCCATCTGTAAAGTGTAAGTACTGGTAACTTCTCAGATTGCTGTGAGGACGAAATTAATTTTTATAACTCTTAGAATAGTGCCTCACAAAGAGTGCTTCTAAATGACAGTGATTGCTACCTATATTCCCAGCACTATGCAGAATGGGTTTTAAATTTATCTGTGCTTAAGAAGCAACTGACACACATTAGTAGTAACTTAAAGGTAACTCAAAGGTGTTTGTAGTAATTCAAAGGGAATTCAATTCAAAGGTAATTGTTTTCCTCTCCAAGGAAATGCACAGACTGCCTTTTTATTTTTTGGTTAACGGCAATACTTTACTCAGATTTTGTTTAAGGTACCAGTTTCTCCATTTTCAAGAACATACATGTCATTCTTCTTGCCCTGACAAAGGAACACCTTCATGTGTCTGCGGAATCCAGCAAGTCATTTGGGACAAAACCCTGAGATCTTTTGATTACCTTACCCTTGAAGTCCAATTCTTTGTATAGGAGAAACTTTATAATAGAGCTTCACCTTGTTTTCCTTCTAATTACACTAGGGAATAGTGAACAGTCTTGGGGCTATGGTTTACTTTTTATGTATTTGCTAAGCTCAGCAATGACTAAGGGCAATAGCTGGTTATTCAAATGTGTCTCAAGTAGGTAACGTAATAAATTGAGAGAGAGATGCAATGAGGCATCAGCACTAAATACGCAGAGAGTGCAAAATATTCCCATAAGAAGCAACTCACCATGTCCTTCTCTGCCATTGCACAACCCTCGAAATTGTCCAGTCTGCTACAGCACCTCATATAACACTTACTTAGCTGGCTGTGATGTACTCTACTATTCAAATCTGGGAGGGTGGGAAGGTGGTGGCCTCAGATACACTTCAGTTAAATTTGTTAGAAATTATTGTCACACTCAGGGAAACCTTATCCATTTTGTAGAACTAAAGGTCCTTTTCCATTGTGGCATCCATAAGACACAATATGTAGGATATAAGGGATATTCACACTGAATACATTATGGACAGAATCTCAATTTAATAAGTATTGCACATTTTTTCCTCCTGAAGTGACCCTTTTTTCAAAATGCAAAAGACAATGCAACATAGTAGCTGTGCCATTTTTCATTTCATGACAGTCACGTGATTGATTTTTTCATTTAAGTTGTGTTCTTACGTATATTCCATCTTATGATGACATTAATATCTCTATTTACCTTTCACATCATCCCATTTAGGCCATAGTTACTCTGGTGAATGTGGGGATGAAAAACACAGTAGGAAGCTCTCAGAAGCAGCTGGGCATTTGGCTCCCAAGCCAGGTTGAGCTGGGCCGAGAGCTGAGTTGGCTGTAGGCTGGATTTGTCCCAGGAATTGAAAGGGCAGCACAAAGCCTTCTCTTCCCAGGCTACAGAGCCCTAGTAACCCAGTGCTCACTAACATTTACAAGCTATATGGCATTGCCAAGTTACTTAACAGATGTGGCAGGGTCAGGTTTGCTATTCACTGAACCCACTCCCTCTTCCTCCTGTGCTCACAACTAGACTGCATTTCCCACCCACTTATGCAGCTGTGGGATGTGAATGAGAGCAACACATGCCACCTACAGGGCCAACTCCTATAAGAGATCTTTCACGTCCATCTCTCCATGCTCTTTCTCCTCTGCCCGCATGAGACATATGGGGTTGCAGCCTTGCGGGCCACACGTTAGGGGTGGTAGAGCTATGAGATGGAAGGAGCCAGGGTCCTGATGCTCTGCTGGCAGAGAGCCATCTGATGATAGGTAACCTTGCTTGAGACTATGTAAGCAACAAGATAGACTTCTATCATGTCTGAGATAGAATAAATCTTTGTATTTTTTTTTTGTTACAGTATCTAGCATTACCTTAACTAGTATAAGTGCTCCAGGCTCCATGTATAAAATGGGAATAGTCACTGCACCTGCTGCATAGGGTTTAAGGAGGACCAAACGAACTAATGTATATATATAAAAGCACTGGTACTGTGCTCAACATACATGAAGGATGATGTTGTTGATGGTATTAACCACTCTCTCTTATTTTTCATTTATAAGATAGGAGTAATAAAACCTACCTTTCATAGTTTTGTAAGGATTAAAACTAAACACACACAGATAGATGTGCATACACAGTAAAGCATGGAACCTGACACCTATTTGTCACTCATTAAATAACTGCTTTTATTATTACTTTTATAGAAATACAAACATTTGAAGTTTAGGAATCTCTGTAAAATAAAGTTTCAGTGGTTACAATTTGATATAGTGCAAAAAAAGTTCCCTAGCTACAAAGTTAGTGGTGAAGAGACACTGAAGTAACTTTGATCCTGAAAAACCCATGAGTACATCTTGTAAAAGAATCATTTTCTATTTAATTGGAAAGACAAAGCATATAAACATAAAGTTCCAGAAAGCACAATGACTGGTTTTTAAACAAAGATTGAAGACCAGGGCATTCAGAGAAAACTCTGAAGTGTGAAAATGTCTATCTTCATTAGGACATTCTGGAAAATTTAAAAGTTTCTCTGTCCTCCAGTCTATAGGATTTATGTTGTCGGAGAACAGGCACTAATTAGTTGGGGATAAGATTAGGATTTTCCCTTCTGTAATCCACAAGACAGTGAGGATAAAACCATTTAAAGTTATAGGTTTGTTGCCTTGAGGAAAGTTAGAGGAGAAATCCTCAAGGAGGCTTGCTAGGAAGGGAAGGAAGAGCCAGATCATTCTGGAGTCTGAGCATGAGTAATGGCAAATGGATGGGATTATACACATTTGCTATCAATAAACACATACACAAGATAAAATAAACCAAAAAAGCCAAGTACTATCTGAGTCTCAATGAACAATTCTAGTACTTACCTCATAACAATGTACAGATCCAACAAAAACTTTTCCAATGTCCAGCAGTTCAAAATTGAAGTGAATCTTTGGTCCCATTCCTTCCCCTTTGATTCGGAGGGGCAGACGGATCTCTCGGCCTATAAGAACAAGTCAGACTTTTTTACCCTGAAGGATGCTTCGTTACCCCAAACCTCACACGACATGGTGCCAATGTAAGCAATCAAGGGCTCTGCATCAACTCCCTGTGTTGGACCCAGGAAACTGCAATGTAACCAATGCTGAAGATTTTGCTTATCTTCAGCAAACAGGAATACTGGTAGTTTCTTATCTTTCGGGAGCACCTTATATAGCTATTTAGGATGATATTTTAGCAGAACAAAATTTTTTTAAATTTAACCCAGTATTCTTGTTTCTTATTTTTTAAAAAATACAATTTCTCTAAATTGGAGAAGAGTGATCACTGATAGATGCTTCTTATAAAGTGAGCTACCATGGGGCTCCAAGGGACATCATTCTCAATGATTTCCCCTAGATTTAGGAAGATCATTGTATTAAGGGATCTGTGTCTAGGAATCTTATCACAGGGTTTCTTTCAGTAGAGGTAATGGGACCCAGTACACAATATCCATGACTGCACACCCACAGCTGACCCAGGGTGAACAGAGAACACAACCTTTAAACTACTGACTGGCTTTGTTTCTTTTAAAAATAAATATATCTTTATCTGATAATATATGATCATTATAAAAATATTATAAAGAAAGTGGAAATTTTCACATAATTCCACTACCCAAAGATAACTACTATTACTTTTAGTACCTACTCTTCCATATTCAATCATGTTTAAATACTAAAGTACTACATGGCCATATTTAAATAACAAATGCTATATTAAGCTTAATGGAAATGAGAGCATATGCTATTACTATTATTTTGTAACCCTCTTTTTTTCACTTAACAATCCAACATTTTTAAAATAATTTTTTAAATGTTTTTTTAATTTTTTTTTTATTTTTGAGAGAGAGAGACAGAGTGTGAGAGGAGGAGAAGCAGAGAGAGAGGAGACACAGAATCCAAAGCAGGCTCCAGGCTCTGAAATGTCAGCAATAGCCAGACATGGGGCTCGAACTCACAAACAATGAGATCATGACCTGAGCCAAAGCTGGACACTTAACCGACTAAGCCACCCAAGTGCTCCAACATCTGCAATGTTTTGACATATCATCACTTGAAGACGAGTAAATATTTTTAACCAGTCCCTCTTGTTGGATATTTAAGTGGTTTCCAACTTTTCATTCGATGAATTACAATGTAATTAATACCCTTGAACACATTTATGAATAATTTTCCTATATTTTCTTTAAGCACTTTGAGGATCATCTATTGTTTCTTGTCTCCTACAGCTCCTGGTGAAAAGTCAGCTTACTGTCTTACTGCTTATTTGAAGTAATATGTCTTTTCCTCTGACTGTATTAAGATTTTCTTTTTAGGGACACCTGGGTGGCTCAGTCAGTTAAGCATCTGACTTTAGCTGAGATCATGATCTCATGGTTCATGGGTTTAAGCCCCACATCGAGTTCAGTGCTAACACCTTGGAGCCTGGAGGCTGCTTCACATTCTGTGTCTTCCTCTCTCTCTGCCCCTCCCCTGCTTGTGCTCTGTCTCTCTGTCTTTGTCTCTGTCTCTCAAAAATAAATAAAAACATTTAAAATTTTTTTAGAAAAAGATTTTGTTTTTGGTTTCTACCAGTTACACTGTGATGTTCCCAGGTGTCATTTTCATGCATTCTTCCTGAGGTTTATAGCAATTTATGAATCTGTGGATGAGTGCCATGCATTTGATTTTTTAGAAGTTTTTCAGTCATTATGTCTTCAAATATTGGCTATGCTCCATTTTCTCACTTCTTTCCATCCAGATAGATAATTTTTTGCCACATTCTATTTGACTCTGATGTCAAATAGAATTTCTATATTTTGTCTCTGTGTGCTTCAGTATGGATATTTTCTTTAGATTTATTTAATTTTCAGTTTATAAACTCTACCTCTGGCTGAACGTAACAAACTATTCAATTCTACTGAGTTCTTAATTTGTCATTGTAACTTTTCAGTTCCAGATTTCCCATTAGATATTTAATAGTTTCCAGGCCTCTGCTCAATCTTTTGAGAACATTAAAAAAATTTTAACATTAAAAAAAACCTATAAATAATTCTGTTTTCTGGCTCTCTATGGAGTTTCTCTTGTTTACCTTGGTGTTCTATCAGACTGTGTTGTCTCCTTATATGCTTAATTATTTTTGACTAAGTGCTTGTCAGTGTATATAAAACCTGGAGTGGTCATGTGAAGCCCTGAGAAGACAGTAACTTCCTCTAACTTCTGGCTGGTGACTAGGGGGTATTAGCATTCTCCAATCTTACTGCTCTCCACTACGATTCTGCAAGAGAATTAAGCTCTATACCAAGTTATTTGAGTGACTATCTTCTCAGTTCTCCTAAGAAGGGCATATAGCTAGTACTATGCTAATTATAAAGAGAAGTTAATTCCTCATACATAAGTGATGCCTTAGAACATTAGAGATTACTTCCTAGAACCTCAGTGGAGAACTGTTGTAATCAAATTGATAACTGAAAAAAGGAGTCAAAGCTGAGCTTCAGTCATTGGGAGGGCTAGTCTTTTTCCAGGTCCTACTCCACTGGGTCCCACTGTAAAGTCTGGGTGGTTACTAGGGCCCTTCCTCCTTGGGCATCCCATGAACTCCTGTGTTTTTTCCCTAACTGTACTTTTCAGCTTGTCTGCAGTATCTACCAAAAAGGTAGTGAAACTAAGGATAAAGTGGCCCCCAAAGTCTGATTGTTTTGGGTTTCTTCTTCTCTTAGATCTTGGCCCTTTAATTCTCCATTGTTCTGGTACTTCTCTTTTGACTACGAAAAGACTTTGGTATTATGCCTTGCCCTGCTAGTTGTTTTTAGAGGGTGAGAGAGAGACAGAGAGACAGAGACTCCAAATTGCCTAGCCCACCGTTATTGAAAATAGAATTGCCAAACGAAGGATGCACATTTAACATTTTGATAGCTATGGGCATACTGCCCTCCAGAATGGTTGTAGGAATTTGCACATGAACAACAGCAGTATTTAAATGTCTGTCTTTCCATACTCTCTCTGATGGTGGGGATATCACCACTTTTTAAAATCTCTGATAATTTGATAGGTTTTCCTTAAATGTATACCATTTACATTTCAAGTTCTTTAAGCAAAAATAGTAGATTTGTTCGGTGTGTAACATTTTGAACATTAAAAAAATATTTTGAAGCTCTGCTAGATGTAATCTTTAGTATTATAGAAAATGTGCTTTGAATAATCAAGTCATATTTCTAATTTATTATTATTATCATTATAATGCCTTGTGGAAATTTATATTCCAGTCTTTTGTTGCCAGTTAGCTTCTGTATCTTTAATGCTTTCTTTCCATGACTGTCCTTTTAAAGACAGGACAACTTGTCTTTGTGTCTCCTCTAGTGCTTGGCAACACAGTGGTCATTAAGCAAGTGTTACCTTGATCATAAGAAACAAGAGCAATAAGCAATATTTAGGACAAGTGATTCATTCAAAGGGTTCCCCCAATCCATCTGATCCCTGGAAAAGAAGTCACTCTGAAGATCAAGTGTTTATGCTGACAATGCTCTAGAATATAAGGAAAACTTTCAGAGAATCTCATCAACTCCATTATTTTAGAGTTCTAATCTGTTGGCAATGATTTGTACTGCTTGGTCAAGAGAAAAATATTTTGACAGAGATCCAACTTTCAGAATGGCAAAGAAGGAGAATTGCAAGTATATTGTGGAATAAACAGCAAGACTATTTATAACTGTCAGGCTTAAAGCTTTCCCCATCTGTTACCTTGACTGCCTTCCTTAATAATTTTTAAAAAAGAAGATGTGTTGTAATAAAGCAGTGAGCCAATGTTTCTTTGGGAATTATTAATTACTTCAATGGAGATTGTTTTATGTGTAACTAGCCATTTCCCTCACCCAAAACAGAATAGGAATACAAGTCATAAGCAGCCTTGCTTTTGTAAGAGTTAGTCTAAATTTTAAGGTTGCATTACAAATGCTACTTTTCTGCAAGACTCATGAAGCAGGGATTTTTCTTGTTTTGGTAAAAGCCAGTAAGAGAGAAAACCTGAAGGAACTAGTAAGCTCTAAGGATAGATTTCCTGTTAGAAGAGAAAAGTATTAAAATGTTTTTTTAAATGTTCATTTGTTTTTGAGAGAGAGAGTGTGAGCAGGGGAGGGACAGTGAGAGAGAGGGAGACAGAGAATCCGAAGCAGGCTCTGAGGGATCAGCACGGAGCCCAATGCAGGGCTCCAACCCACAAACTGCAAGTTCATAACCTGAGCGGAAGCCGGACACTTAACCGACTGAACCACCCAGGTGCCCCAAAATGTCTCTGATTACAGTGTCCTGATTTCACACAAGAAGCAAAGAAATGCAACAGAATCTGCCCTAACAGCCCTGAAGTCCCTGAATGCAATAGGATCACATTGCATTAAATATGATCCAGGAAATATAACTAGGGGCTTCCAAAAACTTGCCATCTATCTTAGACATCCAATATTATACTTGAACTCCATTCCTGTGCAGTAAGACAAGAAAAAAGAGAGGGAAAAGAATAAATAGGGAGAACAAACTGCCATTATTCACATATTTTAGGACTGTCCACCTAGAAAATCCTAAAGACTCTGTGAATAATTTTTTAATTAATAAGATATAGTAATACTGATGGTTACCAAATCAATATATACAAGTCAAGTGCATTTCTACATACAGCAATAACCAGAAAAATTAATTTTCAAGACATTAATTACAATAGTAACAAAAAATAAAGTACCTAGGAATAAATCTAACAATATATACTTAAGATATTCAAGGGGCAAATCAGAAAACTTTGTTGAAAGATATTAACAAAGATCTAAATAAATGGAGAAGCAGGCTATGTCCTTGAGAAGGATGACTCAATGTAATAAAATTGTCAATTTTCTTCCAACTGATCTATCTAATTTCAATGCTCTGCTAATCAAAATGCCGTCACGTAGAATTTGGTGGAATTTACAGGTTGATTATAAAATTTAAATGTAAAATC